AAAAAAAGAGAAAAAAGAAAAATAAAAGACTAATCGGGCGGATGAACCTGTGCAGTCGATCAAGGCCGCGAGAGGAAAAGCCATCTTAGATGTGGAAGTGGACATAGTCACATCTCCGAAGAGACAGGCATGGAAATATTGCAGACTCACCAGGTCACCCAAGGATGACACCCAAGTACGCCAACACATTTACAGGCGCCCTGGGTTTAGCTGTGTTCTAAGCGTGAGGCAAATGGGAACACGTTTAATCCTCGTCACAATGCTAGGAGGCTGGGAGTGGATTTTCTCAGGTTACATAGGAGGAAGCTGAAAGCTGAAGTAACCAAAGAACCAACAGCTGGAACAATGAAATCAATCCTGGCACTTACTGTGGAAATCCGCTGTCATAGCAGGCCACGTTGGCTTCCACCATGCCCCAGTTGTTTTTACAGATGAACATTTCCTTGTCTTGGCCCACAAGTTTTACTTTAACAATTCCCTCTGAATCTGTATTTCCAAAATTTAAGGTAACGCTAAATTTTCCTAAAGTGAAAAACCAAAAGGATGAACAACATTTAGGTATTCCCCCCACCTCTGTTCAATTTAAGAACCTTTAAAACAACAAAATATCTTATTTCAAAATAACTTTGGAGACCATGAAGATTTTAACAAACAAGGACAGGTGCTTCTGTCATGAGTGCTTATGTGGCAAGGGCCCTGCCACCCTGTCCTAGAGAAGACCACGGAATCCTCTCACCCACCCTGGAAGAGGAAGCCACACTGTCTCTTTGGTCCACAGGAGGATTCTAAACCTAGATGTTCAGTTACTGGCCCACGCACTACATCAGGGAATGGGAAGTTGCTCTAGTCATCTTACTCCACACTCTAAAGTCTTAGAAGTAAGGTCAAATAATTACCAAAATCCTAGGAGGGTTTAAAGTGTTCTCACCTACTTAATGCATTTCATGTCTCTAGAAAAGAAGTCCAGCCCTGATGGATGACCTCATGCACGCTGCTCGCCCTCCATAGGCAGCAGAGATGGGCTCAGTGGAAAGCTTTGCTCCTCTTTCCACTGCACCATTCTAACTTATATCACCAACTCCCATAGGCTACTATGTGAGCTGCGGCATCACAGTGCCTTTGAAAAGAATGTGCCATGCATTAGTTCAGACGTGTCTGCGATAACTTGAGAGCAGAAGATGGAGAAGCTGGGTGTTTCTGTTGTATCTAAAATTTAGTAAACACTTTGTGTCAAGGGCTGGGCACCTTGGACAACAAGAGGCACAAAGATAGGGGCTGATGGCTTGGGCACTGCAAAGAACCAGTGGGGCTGGAGACCCATAGGCCCAGACGGACCTAGACCACATGTCTACACTCATCTCCTATCAAGGCTTTCTCCCTGGTTTCTGAACCAGCTGGGTGACCTGGGGAATAATCTCTTTCGACAAGGAGAAGTGAGAGTGGGGATAACTCTAAATGCAGCAGTGGTACCTCAGAGCTGGGTGCTCTCGATTCAGGTGACCCTCTATTTCTTTAGTTATCACTTTGATTACTATTGAGGTCTACAGTATTTCTGATTTGTCATCCAAACATTTCATAGCACAAGTATTTCCTAACAGGTCTACAGTGGTCCTCTTAGATCACAGAATAACTGGATAAATAGGCTGTTCCTACCTTCAGCTGTGCATATTCCGTTTTTTAAAAATTTTGCCCTTCGATTCAAGCATCCATAACTCTTCAGATGGCAGTAAGTCGGGTAGCTTTTCCCATCAGTTGAGCACACAGATGTGCCATTCTTGGGACACTGATAGGGGAGTTTGCAGGTACAGGTCCCATCCACACACTTCTCCCAGGGCTGGCAGAAGACTTTGCTGCAGGAACGATGTGTGTATTTGTTCAGTAAGCACTTTGTATCCACCAGGTCTTCCTGGGGGACAGCTCCTGCTGAAGGGACCTGTAAAACACAAACAACCATGCGCTCAGCAACAACCCAGAAGCTTCTTTCTCAAACACAGAAGAGGACGGTGTGGTCTGGTGGACCCTCCCTTCCCACCCCACTGCCTGCAGGTTGGGGCACTAGGGTCACACAGCTTCGGGGAAGTCACCACCCCTGTGAAACATGATTTCCTCATTTACAATTGTGCAAGGTAATTATAAGGATTAGACGTCTATGTGTAATTTTCAGCAGGTGTTTGGCAGGCAATCAATGGAAGCTATCATTGCCCAAAGGTCAACATAAAATTGTGCCTTCAAAGAAATCAAAGAATTTCAGCAATCATGTCAAGGAGCAACAAATTTGGTGTACAATATGTCTTGTGAAACGAAGTTGAGTCACACAATTTAGTGTTATTAAGTAGAAGCCATATTTTGAGCTCCCATTTGACTTAAAGTCTTTCTAGGATGTGCATGAACTGAACTCCACACTTTTTTGAGGACTTTCTCTCTAGGCAGTAAAACAAACACGCACATCCTAGTGGTAGTGCTGTGGCGGTGGTGAGTGACATGGTTGTGACACAAAACAGCACAGGTATCTTGTAGAAGCAGATTGGGAGCGATGCCTGTTCTGTCTTACAGAACAAGGCCAGAAAGGGCAGGCACAGCAGCCTACAGGATGTTAGCAACAGCCAGGAGGGGACAGAACACATGTAGGGAGCAGGCGCAGCATTAGGGTTCACCGGTTCAATGGGTTGGGGGGTGGTCCTAGGTTTTCACATTGGCTGAATGAGTGATGTTTTTCTCACCCAGCACCAGTACTGAAGGACTGTTTGATTTGCTACATAGAAACCTCTTCATCAAAGCATTAACTATGAATAAAATAATCTCAGCGAATTTGAAAAAGGTCGATCATCTGAAACCATTAATACCTGTCAGGGTCATGAACACTTATCAAATATAGGATGTAATGTTTGCCAGGTCATTTTTTAAAAGGCTGAAGGTATTTATAAGAAATCTTGCTTTATGTATTACACACCAATCTATATGTAACTTCTATGGTTGGTACTTTATGAGGTTTTTTATGAAATATATTCCATGCAAATACAGAAATATTGTGCATACTGATGACAATAAATTTGTCTAGAGCACAGCTTTAAAATGAAATTTTTTTATATTATAGGGAAGGGTCTATAGGATGTTCAGGGTCTCACTACTAGATTGGACTCCTAGTGATCCTTCTGTTTACAGCCTCCTAAGAGCTGGGATTACATGTGCAGCACCACCACACCGTGTCAATTGCCATCTCAGCATGCTCTGTGCGCAAGGCCGGTTTGGCAGGCCCAGGGATTGAACCCCTGGCCCCTGTTCCTGGCAGGTATTTTAATCCACTAAGCTATTTGGCCAGCCCTAAAATGAATGTTTCACTAAACATTTTCTTTCTGTAACCTGTACTTACATATTCGTTCTACAAACTAAACAAAAAATACTGTAGTGTATTTTGGTGGTGATTTTTAAGGATTTTGATTAGGTCAATAATTAAAGAGCTGTTTCTTCCAAGTTGAAATATTTTTACTTGAGTTCTGAAACTCTTAATGTTGTAGCTCAAAAATCAGATGATAACGAGGCAAGTCCAAAAGTTAAAAGAAGCACTTTATTTTAGCTGGTACCCAGCAGCAATACCTGGCACAAAGTGCCCAAGTGTGCATCAAGCATTGACAAGGATCAGTATTTAAGCTTTTTTTTTTTAAATTTTTTATTTATTTATTTATGTGTGTGTGTGTGTGTGTGTGTGTGGCCAGCTCAGCCCACCAGGGGGCGGGGCTGGCTGGCATGTGGTGCTGGGGGATTGAACCGCAGTCCCTGTGCTTTGCTAAGCTTGTTCTAAGTAGATGCTTTAGACCACTGAGCCATCTCACCAGCCCCAGTATTTAAGCTTGAAAACTGCAAAACCAGGGAAGGGGTGGAGAGGAAGAAGTGGCAGGGTCATTAGTTCATGAGGTGGTCCTGTTGGGTGGAGGTGCTGAGTTGGCAGTCATATATAGTTCATTGAGATAAGGTTTTGGAAAACAGATATCATAAGACTTGAGTTACAGGGAGGAGGAATTGGGAGGAATCGTTCATTGAGATAAGTTTTGAGGAACAGATATCATACATAGGGGTGAGGAATCGGGAGGAATAGCTCATTGAGATAAGGTTTGGGGAACAGATATATCATAAGACTTGAGTCACAGGGGTGAGGAATTGGGAGGGGTTGGCGCATACAGAACAGGAATTCAGCTAGGTTAGAAGGGCAACAAAATGGAGTCAATTCTGCCAGGGTACAGCACTTAAAATACATTTAGTTAATTTTGTATTCTTGGTTTGGGCATATTCTCAATGCATTCTTTGTATTTGACCTAGTTAATTTGGGCTCTGTCACCATACTGGATAGAATTACGTAGTCTCTGTTATCAATACAACGTTATTTCAAGATATGTTCCATGTTTACATGTTGTGTTGACTGGTGAAATGTGAACTCTGTTAGTGTTGGCTAAAGAAGAAACGGGTAGTTTCTTTTTCAAAAGAGTGTTTCAAATATAGTTTTACATCTACTGTCCTTAGTAGTAAATCTTTCCCTATGTGTTTATTGTGCTTGTTGTTCTTTGTTAGGTCTTGCTTCCAGCTCATATGACCTTAAAAATTAAACAAAAAATTTGAAAAATAATGCAGTGAGGTCAGTGACATTATCCCATGAAAGGCTCTGGTCAAATTATTAAACTAGTGTCAATATTTTGGCTTAAAAATGTAAATATAGGGCTGGTTAGATAGCTCAGCGGACTACGCATGGGCTTATGCTAGCTCAGGGACCCAGTTTCAGTTCCTGGTACAGAAACTTTTTAAAGGCTTCCTCATGCAACAAAATTATTTCCAATAAAAATCCTGAGACAAAAGAATAATTAGATGCAGAAATTAACATAGTAAGCATTTTCTTTTATGGAAAACATGTATATAATCATGCTGTAAAATTTAAAAAGTAAAGTACACATTACAGAGCAAACAAGAAAAATTATTAGTATTTTAAGCTACACTATATATTTGATGAAAAATATGGGTCTGTTATAGTGATGAATAATGATATAGTTTAATAACAATTGAAAATATTAATAGAAAACAACAGCAACGTCTTTACTTTAAATGTATTATTCCAACTTGATACATATTTTCCATGTGAACTACAGTTTAACTCAGCAAAAATAAGTACTGCATCTCTCAGTCTGCGGTGTTTTGTTTTGTCTGTATTTAGTACAAGGTCTGCAGGGTCTAAAGGATCTCACCGCTAAATCAGACTGGTAGTGATCTGCCTGTGTTCAGCCTCCCAAGAGCTGGGATTACAGGTGCGCGCCACCATGCCTAGTCTCAATTGCTGTCTCAGCGCGCCCCACGGGCGGGGCCGGCACTGCAAAACAGGGCTCAAACCCTGGCTGCTGCCATTTTTACATTTTAAAAACTCCCCATGGCCATTGGAATGCCCAAATCGAGCAGCTCAACTTTTGTTTCTTCATCTTTCCAATCATTAGAGCAACACTCCTCAAACTCAGGAAAACGGGATCACGCCCACAGCACACTGGAACAACTCGGATGTGGGCTGCGCAGAGCAGCGCACTAATGCCAAGTCTGCCTGGGGATTGCGTCTCGTGGGGCTTGCTGTTCTATGCGCACAGGGGGGCCTGTGCAGGATGCGTCATTTTTTAAAAAGTGCTCACTTGAAGTTTACATTCATTTTTCTATTTTATGGAAAAAATGTAGAACAAAATATCTTAACAAAATAACAGGAAATAATAGAGCAGCAATAGTTAATACATTACGTATTGGTATCTTTCAAGTAGTGACTCAGAGTATGAGGTGGGCATAAAAGATTCTCCAAATGATATTAGCACAAACATTTCTTTTCAATGGACTAAGAGAAACTAGTAGTATAACTTAGTTTGTCTCCTTTTTCCTTCTTTCTTTTTCCGATGCCCAACACTAGTTTTTGTTTTTTTTTTTTTTCCTTTTTGAAAAAGTTCTTCCCATTTCACAACATCTATTGTATCTTTTGGATCTT